TCTTTCTTTCTTTCTTTCTTGTGCAGTTCCAGAGTATTTCTTTAAAGAAGATCCAGTTTAATTTCCCCTATTTCCGAAGTGACAGGTACGGCGGCTCCTCTAATGGAGAGTGCAAGGATTTGAGAAGGATGAAAGAGGAGAGGGACGTGTTTTCAGATTTGCTGTTTGTGTGGGCAGTCCTGTGGGGAAAGTTGGCTGTGTTTTGCTGGGGGATAGGAATGTAACACTGGGTCTCTTCCGGAGAGCGGAGAAGCAGTCGTGAGCCATCTGGATGCTTTATTTATCTATCAGTTGCCAATCGGCTACCAGGCCCAGTGCTGGTGTTTTAGGATTGTTGTAGATTTTAAAGGACGCAGATGGGTGGTGAAGGTGTTCAGTTTCCTGTTCTTTTTAAATTTGTGATTGTGGAATCCGTTCAGCTCTTGCAAAGAGCTGCACCATCTTGCTGAAGTTCCACTGAGTCTGTCAGCTCCCTTCGAGAATAAGTAGTAGGTGATTGGACAATTGGGAAGTGGAAGCGTTTGCCACAAGAGCATTTCCCTCATTTTTTTCCAAGGCCATAGCAGGTTGTGGCTATTAGCTACGGATGATCTCCGTGGACTTTTAAAACCCCAGTTTAAAACGATCCAGATCAGAAGCGCTCATGTCTCTGAATCCAAGGCGGTATTTGCTGCTTCAAGAATCTCATTTCCTGTTAACGCACTTACTGTTTTCTTAAATCACGCCTATTGCCTTTCACAATAGAGTATGGAAAATACTCATGCCCTCCGTGTTCGTTCTTTCTGCATCAAACACCTGTTTTTTTTTCCCCTAGGGACAAAAGAGATTTTGTTTCCGCGGGAGCGGCTGCCGGGGTGGCTGCAGCTTTTGGGGCACCCATCGGGGGCACGCTTTTCAGCCTGGAAGAGGGCTCCTCCTTTTGGAACCAAGGCCTCACGTGGAAAGTGGTGAGGCCAACCTCTCAGCACAGCCCTTGCAGGCCTTTCTCTGGCTGCAGTGCAAGACCCCGTCGTGCAATTTCCGTGTGTTCCCGGAGGGCTCTCGGCACGCCTTTCCACTCTGAGCATGGCACAGGCACGGCTTTGTGCCAAAGCATTTACTGCACAGACCCTGGGAATGACCTTGGTCGTCTTTCTTCCAGCTCTTCTGCTCCATGTCAGCCACCTTCACCCTGAACTTCTTCCGCTCCGGCATTCAGTTTGGAAGCTGGGGGTCTTTCCAGTTGCCAGGGCTACTGAATTTTGGAGAGTTCAAGGTAGGCCTTGCTTGACTTTGATCACCTTCCCTTGATTCGTTTTAGAAAAACGTCCTCCGCTGATCATAATTAGCCTTCTTTCCTTCCCTGGGGTTTCCAAGTGAGAGGGGCCTTTCAGACAAGCAACCTGGGCTGAGAATTGACACAGAGCCTTGATGCAGGGGGTGAGGGCCAAGTTAGAGAAAGCTGGGTCGTGGTCTTGAAACATGCAAGGAATGTGGGCCACTCTCCTTTGTCTTCACTCTGGCTGTTTTCCACCCTCCCCTCCCCAGTGTCCAGAATCCAATAAAAAATGTCACCTGTGGACCATCGTGGACCTGGGCTTCTTCATCCTGATGGGAGTTGGTGGGGGGCTTTTGGGGGCCACCTTCAACTGCATCAACAAGAGGCTGGCGAAATACCGCATGCGAAACGTTCATCCCAAGCCCAAGCTGGTCAGGTACTGGGGCCATTTCTGTGGTCGGTGGGCGTTTGCTTTATTCTTTGCAAACCAGGAGAAGGCAGGCGTGTTTGTGACGAGAACTGTTGCTGGAATGCCAGGGTGTGTTGGGGTGACATTTGCTCCGGGTGAACAAGAATGGGCTATGCTTCCTTCTCTGTATGGGGGGACCCGTGGGCAAGTGTTAGGGACACCATTCCCGTGTTGCCTCGGGCTCCAAAGGAAGAAAAATCACAGGGGCACCCTTATCTGTTCACGTTCACGTTCCATAGCTTATATCAAGGGAACAGCTTTTGGAGCACCCCAGCTCAGCTGGAGCAGGGGCAGGGGGGATCTCAGCCTCTGTTGCTTTTGTGGACATCGACACACAGTCCTGGCCCGTGAATGATTTTCCTCACATGTGTTGCTTTGGCTTGCTTGCAGGGTTCTGGAGAGCCTCTTGGTGTGCCTAACAACCACCCTTGTGGTATTTGTCGCTTCGATGGTTCTCGGGGAATGCCGCCCTCTGTCTTCTGCTAATCATGGAGACAACAGCTCCGTTGGCCTGCAGGCAAGTGGAGAGCATTTCGTGCCCACGCTGGGAGGAGAAGAATGGTCTGCCTCTCAACGTTGCCTCTAGGCTTTCCAACTCCGCACGTTACCCTTCCTTACGTTTTGAAGGTCAACGTGGAGGTGTTTGTAGAGCCT